CTGTTTAGTATTCTTGTAGACCCTTTTGGGACCAACAAAACGCTTATCACTTTTGTCGAGTAACAATATTTGTTATAAATTACAGTACTGACACTTTTTAGTTGGGTTATTTTTCCAACCACACAACAATAACATAATTTACGATTTAACTGTGATACGTTCAAAAATATCACAGGGCATAAACGAGTATGTCACGTTGATAAGATCTATAAAGTGAGCAGATTCCCACATATATATAATTATCAAGTACTAAAGTGTTTTATTATTAGATACAATGTGTCATATAAAAAAAACATATTGCAAGCATATATGAAATGTGATACACAAGGATATCACATGTGATATTCTAAAATTGAAGTACCACCAATGTTTGATATAAAAGCATTCTATTTAATAAAACATCATCTAATAGTGATTGATCATCATTTTAAAACAACCATCATTCACATCCAGTTTCAAAAGAACTAAATAAAATAATATGATCCAATATTGTCAAATTCATTAAAAAACAAAACCTAATTTATTAAGAGATGGAAAAAGGTTAATTGGAAGAGGCTTTCCTCACAGGGCAATTTCGTATATCATGATTGACAAGCTCCTTGCATCCTCGACATAGTCTTTTCGGCCGTTTGCTTTTTGTTATGGTTCTCTCTCCCGCCCCAATCAAATGCTTACTAGTGCCACAACCTTTGTTACGAATGCCTTAAGGGGGAAGAATATCAATTTTCTCCGGTCGAGGAACACCTACCAACGACTGATGCACATTATCTTTGTTGGTAAAATCGTTTTTTTAGGCACACCGCTTAGCACATTTGACTTCCACGAACGGATATTGTCAAGAAAGGCAGTTAACTTCTCATTGTCACCTTTTAAATTCGCTAAACATTGAACAAGCTCAAGATACACGTCATTGAATAATTTGTCAACACGACTATCGCTTCTAATTGATATATGTCGACTACGCAACACATCAACAGGAATGACCCCCCTCATCCAACGCCTAAGAATATATTATTGCGGAATTTCATCGAAATCAAGGTTAAACAAGACAGTGAACACATGTCGACATAAAGTTTCGTAGTACTCAAAATGGCGGCAACCACAATATATTGAGTCATCTGAATGCGATTGAGCAACTTAACATACAACATAATTGGTGATACAAGATTATAACAACACACTAAAATATCACATGTGATATTTAACAAGAAACTAGAATATCACATGTGATAAAGTTAAACAAATAATTAATAATATTGATAACGTACCTTAAACTTAAGCTTAGTGGAACAATGTTTTTTCTTCTCCCTTATTGTATAAACTGTCAAACCCATTTCAGTATTAACTTGCCATTGGGAACAAAATCTATAACCCTTGAAGATCTCCTGTTGGACCTTGAACAAAATAGCACGAGTATACACCTTTGTTGCATAATACTCGATCAACGTATTTGTCTTGAAGGTCAGTGTGGTGGTATTCGTTTTATGATCTTCATTGCGCTGCCTATTCCTCTGTTTGTCTATCGCAGTATCATAAGACAAAATGAACTCTAACAAAATATTAGAATGCTTATCAAATTTTCGAAAAAACGAGTTGGTGCTCTCAGATCTGGAGGTGGTTTTCATTAAACAACACAAAGGTATCTCCCTGAAGTAGGAAGGAATCCAATTGGTTCGCATTTGAAATACGTCCTCAAGCCATGGATGAGTATGAAGGTCAAACTCATTCAACAAAGATGCCCATTTAACCTCAAATTCATCAGGTTCAAGGTGTACACTCCATACTAATTTTAATAACTGTTTTCTGAAGTTTGTATTCAAAATGATATCAGAACCTACCTACATCATAACATCGCTATAAGGAAATCAAATTTGCAACTCACATATGATACACAACTACAGTCACATTATTATCACATGATTATCACCGGTAACACTAAATATAATATTACTTTCAATCACATGTGTTAAAATCTAGTAAGAAACAAAATCTAGCAATTTCACGCATCCTACGATTTAATTTATACCCTAATTTTAAGCATGGAAATATCAAGTCACCTGAGCAAACAATAAAACATTCAATACCTTGGCAGGGAGCTTCTTCATGATATGCCACATACATAGTTGATGTCTAGCATCAGGAAACACAACCGGGATTGCTTTCTTAATGGAAGCATCTTGATCAGTCAAAATAAGGGTCGGTTGATGACCATGAACCTTCAAAAATGATTCCAACAACCAGGTATATGCTTGGATAGTTTCTTCGGTGATCAATCCTGACCCAAAAACAACTGATCTTCTATGGTTATCAATACCGATGAATGGTACAAAAACCATGTTATATCTACGATGACAAAAAAATAAAATATAAGCCGATATCATAAAAATTAATAAATCCAAATTATGATAACATTAAATTAACTTACTTATTGAAACGATATGTCGCATCAAATGACATAACATCACTGAACTCTGCGTAGTTCAACCTTATCAACTCATTGGCCCAAAACATTGATACCAAACGACCATTGTCAATTTTATACTCAAATGCAAAGTTTGTCCTATATTGTCTTCTGTTGTTCAACATATTTACCACCATTTGTACGTCTCTATCACCAACGTAGTTATTGAGATCCCTCTTGAAACTCTTATAATCAAACCAGCCTCATCGTTGCCACCTTTCAAACAAATCTGCAACTTGTGGGCTCTTACAGGCCCAATATTTGACCTCGCCAACCGATGTACCATAACTTTGTCATCATAACTGAGTTGCCTACTCTTATGTGATAAAATTTTATCAGCATCATCAATCAAATCATGGTTATGATTGGGACAAAAATAGTATAATCTATATGATGATTGAGACCCCTCTATGTATTTAAACCTAACAGACACCTTACAATCTGTAACTTTAAAGTTTGTATTTCGTACTTGTCTACGATGTCCATCCATTTCAACAGAGTCAATCGGTCCTCTTTTTTTGTTTTCCGTGCTTATGACAAACAACATATTTTTGTTTGACTATACCACCCTCCCTTGTCTTCTGCGTTGATAGTCGAATGTCAAACCCGACAATGTCGACATACCTTCAACACATTTCAATTCCATCCTCCAAAGATCCAAATATTGAACCAACAACCGGTTGAAATTCACTTGGAACAGATGGGATACGAACTCCATCACCGCAAAGACTTTCAATCACTCCTTGAGTTGGTAACACAAAATGATCTGTGAAACAATTACCAATATGTTATAAATAAAAAAATCAATATACATATAAACCAAATTAACAAAGTCTCATGTGTCATAATAAAACTAAACAAAATTACTATTAAATTAAATTGAAAACAAAATCAACCTCATCAAGGCGCATTACAGTAACATACACTTGCAGCTATGGGATGTTTATCACATGTGATAAACATCAAAATTCTCAATTACAAAGATATCACTATTATAATCATTGATTTTATGTTACAAGTTGAAAGTGAAATTGACCATCTTGATTACAATATAGTTGTCATTTTTCACTTGCTGATTTACGTTATTTACTAGCATCATTCATATGTCTATTAGACTGCAAAATTCTGCATTTGCATTTTCCTATCATATGAACTCGACTCTTCATCACTAGTTACACACCAATTTAAGAGATGCAGAAGTAGTTTGAGTTGAGATTTGCTAGCAATTAACTTGTTTTTTATCAAATCATGTATATCAATCACATTTATCACACCATTATCACATTTCCTGGGATCACTGATAATTGTTTGGATCGATATGCACATAAACATTATCACATTTATCACACTATTATCACATTTCCTGATAATTGTTTGGATCGATATGCACAAATAATTGTTTATGTTATATGATTTGAGCGATCAATATCTTTTGAGTTGGTAACCGATATGTGTCACGAAAATTATGGGATGTTTATCACGTGTGATAAACATCAAAATTCTCAATTACAAAACTACAATAACATTAAACTCAAATCAACATATACCAATAACTATAAATGGACAAAAAATGTTTACATTCACAATTCCATGTACCTTTTTTCGGGGAGTGCTAATGGCACCCCTTTGATAGGGGTGCCAAATACATTGAAACTTGAACCTTATTAAAAATAATATAATATATTTTTTTATTATTATTTTATACATTAATATATATATATATATATATATATATATATAAAATTCCTTATATTATATATTTTATACAAAAAATATTTT